CATAACTCAGGTGTGGAGGGGACGCAGTGAGAGCTTGTTTTAATGCTACTGACAGGCGATGGATGGCGTCGTGTTTCCCTCAGCTCGAGGTCGAGTGTCGCTCTGCAGCCGATGAATTTCGTCCTGAGGTCGGCTGCAATATTCCCCGAGCATCACCGCAGGGTGAGAAGTGTCTGTCCATTAGTTCATGGAGCGGAAACAGTGCTGTAATCTGATCTCTCGCTCCTATTCGTGGTGCCTCTCATGAGCTGTTTGTCATGGATATTATCCCGGGAGAAATCCTATTACTCCACCGACCATCTTCTCCTTCTGCTCTATTCTCCCTGCTCTCACAGCGCCGTTCTACCTCCCTCTATTAAGTATTAAGTATTAATGTGTGTGTGTGTGTGTGTGTGTGTGTGTGTGTGTGTGTGTGTGTGTGTGTGTGTGTGTATGTGTGCGTGTGTGACTGTGTAGGTCTAGGTATGCTGGCCAGTGTGTACACAGATGATGAGGAGAGAGGCATTGCGATGGGCATCGCACTGGGAGGACTGGCTATGGGAGTCCTGAGTGAGACATATGTTATTCCCCTCCTTTCTTCCTTGTCTCTTTTAAAACGAAAAATATAGTAAAGAATAAGAATTAAAAAAACAAGATGTCAGTATGTTAAAAATATTTTTCTCCTTAGATTTGTGTCCTGTGTTTAATATTTGTGTTGTATTTCAGTTGGAGCTCCATTCGGCAGTGTGATGTATGAGTTTGTAGGGAAGCGCGCTCCCTTCCTGATCCTGGCCTTCCTGGCTGTGTTTGATGGAGGTAAACGCGTTCACAGGTTCACTGACTGAAATAAAACCAATTATTAGTGGTTGCCGATAGCTCCATTAAGGGCGATCACCTACAATCGTCGTGCAGGTCCAAAGCATGTCAGGTTACTGGGCCAATGATATACCAGCCAAAACATGCCAATGACGTTTTTCAGCTGAATGCAATTTGCTCCAAGGATGGGGATGCAATCAACCAGTCTGTTAGCATGAATGTGCTTAACAACTCTCATTCACTAGACACAGCAACAGGCTAAAAGTAATGTTTAATGAAGAATGATATGACAGAATCAAATAATATACAAATATCTTGTAAAAACTTAAAGACTTAAAATAAAACATCCAATAATATATAAAGAATTATAATTAAGTCTCTTAGTGCAGTTTTATCTCAGTCATTTGATATATTATGTTTAAATCCAGTGGTGTGAAGTGAGTTCTGCATTTCGGTGTCCCAGTAATCTGAGTTGATCTGGTTTCTGGCCTGAACACCTGCTTAGACTCATGGGAGCTGGAGCTGTTTAATGCTAACAAGATACGTGGATATTAATCTAACTAAAGTTGATCTAATCAATAATTAACTGCATCTATAAATAAAGTTATTGCTTTTAGGGGTTTGAATGTAACCACCTATACATGCTGGTGATGTCACACTGATCCACTCCAGTTAGCACGTCCTGATGTTTGCATTTATGTATTGCAGCATTACAGCTGTTCATCCTGCAGCCTTCAAAGATCTCCCCAGGGGTGAGTTCACTTTCTAACTGTACCCATCTGATCCAATCTGAAGTGATTTGTTCTGGTCCAGTCTGATTTGTTCTAGCATAACCAGCTCTAGTTTGTGTGTTTCAGAGTGTGGAGGGGACGCCATTACTGACGCTGTTGAAGGACCCGTACATCCTCATTAGTGCAGGTAAGAAGACGCTTCACACACTCACCTGTACATCCACATCTTCCCCCCCAAAAAATTCAACATCATATTTCTGGGATCTGTCTATCTGCAGGTTCTCTGTGTTTTGCCAACATGGGTGTGGCCATCCTGGAGCCGACCCTGCCTATCTGGATGATGCAGACCATGTGCTCCCCTAAATGGCAACTTGGTTTGTCACCGTCTGCACCCACCTTTCCTACCTTCTTCCTGCATGCACTGAAAAAACAGACTTTAATTAAAAGTATTATGTCATCAAATTTCACATAACTGTTAGATTAGTTGAAAGCAATAATATTAATTGCAAAATACAAAATACTGTATTATGTTCAACTTAATATTATTGGTTTCAACAAACCTAAGTGAAACATAATACATTTAATCAACCTAAAACTTTGTGAAAAGCTTTATATTTCATATATGTTGATTTGGTTGAGCTGAATTATGACAAACACTCCATAAAAGTGTGAATATGACCCTCACACATTGATTTTTGCAGAAATGTCTCTGTCCTTATTAGTGGGGGCTGGTGCATTTTTCTCCAGGGGGGGCTCTACCAAAATGTAAGCAAATGTATACACAAACTCAAAACATGTCATATTACAACGAAGGGCAAAGGCACACAGCACTTGATACAGTCTATTATTTTAGTGCCTGTTTTTGTCAACCTCCTTATTATGCTTACTGATCCCTATCCTGTAGCCCTCATTGGACAGCTGTGTTTACATTCCTAAACATGGCTAGGCGCATAGCATCATCCATGAGGACTCCATTTGTTCATGCTTTTTAGTTTTTTCTGATATGTGCTTTAAGTCACTCACATCTGGATCCTTGCTGGGTCTGCTCCATAGGCTAGTCTGATCCTGACGTTTGAAAAGGGAGGCAGGGGAAGCTAATATAGCACTGGTGTTGCTACAGGTAGTTAGCCAAGCCGTATACAATTCATAAAATGAAAGTATTTTTTATGTAGTATCTAGAATGTGGGAAGAGGTGGGGCGGCGCCCTTTGCGCCCCTATGGGCCAGCCGTCACTGGTCCTTATGTGCCTCCCTCCCCCCTTTGTTCATTCCTTCCTCCTTATGTCCCATTGTTTTTTCTTTCTTTCCTTCCTTCCATCCTCACTTCAATCAGGAGAGACGTGATGTAGGAAATACATGTTTATTACCGGGACGCATAATATGAAGGAATAGTGATTGACGGATTACAACAAGTGAAAGAAATGATGTTTGGCGATTAGGCCCTGGTTTGCAGGATGATCATTCAGGAGGGGAAAACTGCTCCGATGAACCCCCCGGGGTCTAGACACTGGTGGTGGTGATAAGTAGTTCGGTCCGGTCTGAAGGGAGAAGGTTTTTAGCTTGGCCCTGTATTAGGAGACAGGAGGCGAAGGGGTGGAGGAGGGTTGTGCGTTGACACCTGAAATGACAACTGAAAGAGAGGGAAGAGCAGATTTAAAGGGGTTAGCGGGTGCGATGATTGGCTAGCTGGGGAGTAACGCTCCCGATCACTTATTGAGAGATGAGAGAGTATTGAAATGTCGTGTAACACCAGAGGATATTGGTCTTCCTGATTGAAATTGCGCTGAGCTTCATGTCCACCTTTTGCTCCTTCATTCCTCCTTATGTTCCTCTCTTCCTGTCTGCTTATGTTCCTTCCTTCCCTTCTTCCTTTTTTATTTTCCTTCTCTCCTTCTTTCTGGTCCTTCCTTTCTATACCTCTCTCCTTAAGTTTCTCTCTCCCTTCCTTTTTTATCCTTAATTATTGTTTCTTCCTTATATCTCCCTCACCTCTCCCTTTTTAACGGATGTGTGTTGTTTTACAGGTATAGCTTTCCTCCCTGCCAGTATCTCCTACCTAATAGGAACGAACCTGTTTGGTGTTCTGTCCAACAAGATGGGACGGTCAGTGTGTGTGTGTGTGTGTGTGTGTGTGTGTGTGTGTGTGTGTGTGTGTGTGTGTGTGTGTGTGTGTGTGTGTGTGTGTGTGTGTGTGTGTGTGTGTGTGTGTGTAAAGTGTGTGTGTGTGTGTGTGTGTGTGTGTGTGTGTGTGTGTGTGTGTGTGTGTGTGT